TGTAATAGTATGCATGATTTGAATTCCTCAAAGCTATGAATATGCTGGGAGTGAAAGCCTGCTGCTTTTTCACATCCAGAGGAAATAAAGCCAAAAATGCCAGATGTTGTGTGTGCGCATCATTTGTGTTGCTTTTCCAACATGCTACCCTGACACTGATAAGATGGAAGAAAACTGGTCTTCCTCACCTATGAGCTTTAGGCATAGACTGTTACCATTGTTTGTGTCTCTTCCCAAAAAGAGAAACCTCTACTTGAAAATGCATTCTGAGACTGTCTTTATGTGTCAAAAATAGCTCTTGAGAAAGGAAGATGAAAAGTATTAATGTTTCATTTTGTGTGATGGATTCCTGCTTGAAGTAGGCGTTCATAGGAATTGACAAATTCTATATTTTAAACACAGATGAAGCATTATGTGGAATAAATCAGATGAAAAATTTACGAAGTTATTATTACTATCTGCTTTACTTAAGTTTAATTGATTGAAGAGGAATATTTTGGGTTTTTTGTTTGTTTGTTTGGTTGGTTGGTTTGGTTGGTCTGGTTTGGTTTCCATAAAAGCAATGGGCTAGACTGGAAGTGATAAATAAGCCCAGAATTTTGTGGGTTTTTTTTTTCTTTTCTTTTTTTTTTTTTGTTTGTTTGTTTGTTTTGTTTGTTTGTTTGTTTGTTTGTTTGTTTCTCCCCTTGAAATATTTCACACATCAGTTAAATGTGCAATAATAATGAAATTACAATCAAACTATTCTAAAAATATAGCTTGATTTTGTAACAGTCACAACTTCAAATTCATACACTGCTCTGTGCCTGAACATGTAATGTTCACCCTGCTCTGCTGTAAGTGATGCCCAGAGCTTGAAGCCTCATGCCCTGCTGTTTTAAATCACCCTTAGAACAGAGAGGTTAACGAGTGTCTTTCATCATGAAGATGCTTTCTGCTATGGAGTCTGCAGTAGATTTCAAGCTGTTGTCTTTATGTCTGATAGTTACAGCTGTAGCTCAGGGCAACCTCTTTACTTTAAACCCGTAACCAAATCCAGCACTGGCAGAAGAAACAGTAAGCAGGACTGTAAGAAGTCATATGTTTAAAGAAGGTTAACTCACAGTAGCTGAGAACAGTTATTCAATTGTCTCTTGAGAATGCACACATTTCTTACAGACTTTATCTGGAAGAGCTTATATAGTAATTAGGAAAAGGGGACCAAACTGTGCAGCTGAGGAAGAGGATGGTAAGGAATAAAATATTTTAAATATGTTATAAGTAATTATATATTCATAAATATTTTTAATTATAAATATTAATTGAAACTAGCTACATTCCAGTAACATACTTCAAAATGCTTTCAGAACATTTGAAGTCCAAATCTTAAATTTTTACTATCTTGTCTGTTTTAATGGAAAGATTCCCTAGGCAGAGCTGTCAAAGGGAGTGATCTTTTCCTGTTTAAAGAAAATTTAAAGCTTGCAGTGTTGTTCCTGTATTTGAAACAGAAGTTTGCAAGCATCTTTTGAAACCATGCTCAGAGTGTGGCACATTTGTATTTCACCATAAAGTCATTGGGAAGTGGAGGTGAGCTCTGCTTGGCTCTGGCTCCTGACAGCTGTTGTATAAAATGACCGACTGCTCTTTCCTGACCAGAAGTATTTTGGCAATTCTGTCATTGGTTCTCTTCCAAAATGTAACGACTTATCAGGTGTTGGTGTCCACATACTTGTGTAATATATACATATATATATAGAGTTACTATTGCATTTTTTATTTCGATTTCCCTTTCCTTCAGAGTAAATGGATGTTATCTCATCCCATGCATTCTGTTTTGTTCCCAGCTCTCTCCCTCATCTCACGAGTGGGTGACCATCTGTGTGCTCTGAACTTCTGCCCTCATACACCACAACTGGCTGCTACTTCCTTGCTATGCACACCAGTTTAGTTTTTTAGTTTATTTCACACATAAAATTCATATGTATCCTCTGAAAAATTTCCAGCAGGCAGGCATTTTAAAAATATATATTGAAGATCTGAATATAAATACACGTATCAAAAGTGAAAATAATGTATAAATTTCAGGAGTGTAATTCCACTCGGTTTTGCAAAACAAAGCCACTTTGAAGCTGAACATGTTAATGGGATCTAGAATCCTTCCTGTGCCAAACACCAATACTGGAAAGTCCCAGGAATAATACTGCATTTCACAAAGTTACTTTATTATTTATTTTTCAGCATTTCCTAAATTCTTCCGAGGTACATTTCTCTAATTAGATTTCGTTCCTTGTATTCTTGTGTTAATTTTGCAGAAATCTTCATTACTACTCGAAGTTGCATATGAACAGCTAGGAAATAATATTGCAATATTGTGAAGAAACCATGCTGGTGCTGTATTGTGTTTATGTTTGCAATGATTTCTTCTGCTTGTGGATGTTTGGTTCTGGTTGGTTGTTTTGCTTTTTTTTTCCCCTAGGCCCAAACTATCTAATAATGTTTAAATCCACTACCTAAGGCAGGAGAAGTTTTAAATGATGAGGAAGGCAGATAGCATGGTGAGCCATGATATGACAAATTGTGGAGGGCAGGTAGAAAAGAGGCATGAGTTAAAAGAAGGACTGATGTCATGTGTTTCAACTCAATGTGCTGCCAGGTAAAATATAAGTGCGATCATAACTCGTACAAACATTTTAACATTGACAGAGAAGTCACCAAATAAACAGTTGCTACCTATCACGAACAAAAGGAAAAGCAGTATTTCTATTAAGCTCCTTTATCAATACAGACATTTCCCATCAATCTAAAGGAGAACAATGTTGTAATCTGTGGAAACCAGAAAAAATGGGAGGACTGTTACCCCCTTGAGATCAGTTAGATCAGTAGTGTTGTACAAACACTCAAACTTTCACCTTCCTTTCTTTTTCCTGCTCTAAGGATATCTATCTTTAAGTATATGAGTCTATTCCTTCACTGAATTTGTTTCATAACTGTTTCAGTCCTCCCATCACTGCATGCATTCCTAATTTTCTGGTTGTTTTTTTTTTGTCAACTGAAGTGAAAGCACTATGCTGCTATCATTTGTATCACTGTAATTTGTGCCATATGTCACTGTTGTTTATAGTTTGAGCAGGGAGTATATCTACCAGAATTTTCATTAGTTTGAATTAGTGGCATTATAGTGTTACAATTTAATATTCCTTGAGCTTTCACATAATATCTTTGAACACAGTCATGCCTCTCTTTGCATTTCTTAGTGCATAAGCTTACATATGTGAATTCTGTTGCACCAGGATTAATTGACAGTGCACTGTACCACTGAATTCATAGCAGCAGTAATGTGATGAGTTACTGGTTGGATGTGGCTTTTGAAAAATGGCCACTAAGAAGTTTCATGGTCAAAAAAAGATGCTTTTATAGCAGAATATTTTTGCTTATGAGAAATGTTTCCTCTTTCAGATTACCAATAATATTTTCATAGAGCACTCTTTTATCACAGCAGCATTCAAGGTTTTAGTAAAACATGTGTCAGATTAAAAAAAAAAAAAAGGATTCTGTATCTGCTCTTGTTGGAAACTTGTGGCCACATAACATCACATTCCAGCTGGTGATTTTGAGTCCATTTTTTTCTATAGCAAGTCAGCATTTTTCCATAATGCTGGACACTTACAATTGCTGTATGTACATTAACTCTGCATTCCAGTACCACCAGCAGATAATGCTGTCTTGAGTACCACAGGCAAAAGAGCAGCATGGAGATGCTATGTGTTCTTTTTACAGGCTCTTTACACGCGCAGATGAACACATATAGATGGAAATTTTGTGAAGTCTCAAGTCTCGATTCCCAAATGTTGTACTGGCATGCTTTGATTGACATGAAATCTCTTTTCTGATTGCTCCCTCAAGCCAGAATCTTTTTTCAAGGCTTCAGTTACTTGGCAGACTTATCCAAAGAGCCACCTGAAGCAAAGAATATCTCACATTCTCTATTGCTTGCATCTATAGATGTAGTATGGATCTATCTGTTTAGTTATTCATAGTTCAATCAATTCAGGAAGAGGATCCAGAGGGATAGGATTATTTGCTGTCTTGCATCACTATAATCAAAGACCTCCTGAGGGTTACAAGAACTCCTTATCTTCCATGTATCTTATAAATGCTGAAGAAATTACCAATCAAAGCAGTCAAGAAGAAAACAAAATAAGGAGGCAGTGCTGTGAATTATTTGGGCTTAAGTCTGTAATGAGCCTGCAGAGTTGTTCTGTGTATTTTCATGGGATAAATTACAGTGTTTGAGTTAGGGCACTGTGTATATCTATGCGAAAGCTAGTATAGTTATTCTGTCTGTCCATTTTTATTTTACTTTCGGGTACTGTGTAGGTACTGCAAATATAAGAGAGTGAATAAAGATTGTGCCTCCAAGGACAAGAGTAAAGGGCATTACAGAGCAAGACATTTGAGTTATGTGGGTAGAAAACCTGTAATAAGCAGAAAACACCAGAGCTGTGTTGCTCTGGTGATCTCCAAGGAGGAAGTGTTTTAAAAAAAAAAGTTAGTTTTTGAAAGTTGTTGAATTCTAAAAGGCTGCCAGAAAGACCAAATGCAGAGCAAGCCTGGAGGGGCACAGAGGAGATATTTGTCCAAAACCATTTTCATTTTTATCCCTTCACACAATTTGCCCTTTTCCATATGTTGCCTTATTCCAGATGTCATACTGAAACTTTCTTTTCAGAAATCCAAAGACCTTGTGGTATTTGAAGTATGCTCAGGATAAGGAAGAGGCTTTCAGATAGACCTGGAAAATTCATCCTATTTCAGATCTTGATGCAGCATTTTTGCTTATAATTTGTGTGCTTAGTGCCCTAGGGTGGCTGTAAAAATTCAAGTTCACTTTTAGTACAATGTTTATTTCTTTGTTTATAATCCTTTTTCATCAGAATCGTTCCATCACCTGCAGTGAGTCATTAGCTGCAGTCATGCTCCTTCTTCTCCAGTGACTCATGTGTTATTTTCTCCAAAAGTTACAGATTCAGCAAAACAAGTGGGCAAAATCCCATACGAAAAAGTGATTTGTGATTGGTAATCACAGTGCTCTTCTAAGTAGAAGACTGGAAGTCAAGGTCAGTCACATACGGGAAACACACATTGCATTTCTCATGAGTAGGTTGATATTTTAAAATATTTTCCATTCTTTTCTTTTTCTTTTCTCTTTCCCTCTTTCTTCTGCCTGCCTTCTCCTCTGGGTGCATCTCAGAAGGAAAGAACAATTTTTGGGGGTGGACCTGATCTGATCAGTTATGACTAGGAGAAGGTGTGCTCACAAGGGAATCCAGTGGTAAAACGTTTGTTGCTGAATCCCAGTCAATCCTGAATGTCAGGCCAAAGGCTTCTGTGCATCTACATACATACATACATACATAAATAGAAATTTAAAAAAGCAAAACATAAAAAGCCCAAAACATACGGGCTTCAAGATGCACCTTTTTAAAAGGCATCTCTAGTATTCACTACTAAGCACGTGAATTTTCAGGATAGTAATTTTAAATTTTGTGTTGTGTTCTTGTTTTCTCTGCAACTATATTTTAGTTGTTGTCCATAAGATACGACTAGATGAATTCTGAAGGACCTGTCTAAGATAAACTTGTAAATTTGTGCCTTATTCAGACCAGAAATTTTACAAAACTTTGGAAAACCTAGGTTACATCTAGGAAGTAAAAAAAAAAAAAAAGTCAAATATTTCTTGTTCTCCTTCTTGCTATTCTTCATCTTGACAGAGCAGAGCTCATCACTGCTCTCTTTTAGTGAAACAGTGGTTATTTTTTCTCGAACATTTGTCAGTCTGGTTTAAATGGGCTGTCATGGATCATGATTGCAGAGATCTTCCAGGTGATCGATGGCTATAAAAATTAGAACAACATGATGATGCATCATTTTATTTTTATACACTGTCTTGCACCTTGGGAATTTAAGGTGTGAGTATGTAAAGAATCTGTCTTTTTAGAAATTATTCAGCATTGTGAATTCTCATTCAACATTTGGAATTAGGTAATAATCATTTTGATTGGGCAAAATCTGTACATTCTGTGTATCTGTATAATCCATATGTTAGTTCAGTCTTAATGGGTTGTAAAGCCATTCAAAATAAGATTTCTCCCATCAGGGTTTTCCTCATACTATATTCCGATATATTTTCATTTCCCTACTGTTTATTTCCCTCTCCAGCATAACACAGTTTTACTGTATGCTTTATAAACTGCATTCAATTTCACTGTGTTGGAGACAACTAGCATTGTTGTGGTCATCTCATTACATCTCTGCTGAGCTGGCTCACTGGAAACAAATGCTGAGCTTAGACAAGGATGGTGCTTAGGTGAGGATCATTATCTTTAAATGGTGTCATGGTCAGACTTTGGCTCCATCCTGCTTACACATCTAATCTATGGTAAATAATTCAGCAGTTTGCTCATTGCAGGGTCACCAGTAGGAGTGGCTGTAGCACACAGGCTTTTGTTCCCGTGGAAATGGGCAGGGTCAGGTGGAAAACAGTAAAAGCAGTGGTTTGGGGTTCTAATGAGAATCACTTTAAGAGTAAAGTTTACTTTATTCTTTACTTTACTTTAAGAGTAAAGTGATTTCACAGTGAAAGTGAATGAATTCTATAGGAAATATGAACTACGGATAGTCCGTGATTTTGAGTTCTTACAGATAAGGTGGTAAGACAAAACTATTCCAGGCTTTTAATTGCAGGGAACATAGTTGTAAATTATTTCTTTTCATCTTGGAACTGGCTACAAGGGAGGTGCTACCTGTCCAGCATGTGCCTCGAATGCAGACAGAGGACATTCATTACTTGTATTGCATAGCATCTCTAAAAGAGAAGCTGGTGTAAACACAATTCCTGTGCAAAATGCAGGGAATTGGTGTAACTACAAACCAGCTTCCACCCTCTTGATATGATCAGAATTTTATAAATTCTGTAAATGGCATAAATTGTATGAATTCAATGAATTTTACTTAAGAAGAACTGTATAAGGAAATCCTTCTTATTAAAGCATAACTGATTGAACATTAATACAGAAAATTTCATCATTGCTGTGCTGCTGGTCTCACAAGTTATTGCATTTACAGTGGAATACAGTAATGTCAATATGCACATGTAATCTTTATAATAGAACAAGTACAGAAATTCTTATTTTCAGACATGTTGCTGGCTCTTTATCTACTTGAAATTTACAGTTGCACTCAAAATGAAATATGTAATATCTAAATATAAATCTATAAATATATCTATAAATGTAAATATAACTAATCAAGCGGACTAGCAGCTATTTTGATACCCTTATTTCTTTCCACGCAAACTGCAACTGACTAAAGAACACAGTAACACTATTTGATAGAGCAAGATCTCAGCTATTTTTCAGCATAGTCACGGCCATTAGACACACTTAGAAACCCTGGTTTTCCTTACCAATGGAAAAGAGCCTGCATTCCATGCTCATAAATATCTCCATGGCCATCCAGAATGTGGTTTGCTTTTCAAGTCACTGTTGTCACTGCAGGAATGCACCACCCACCACCTCAACTGTGCTGACATGCACTGTTTGGTCTCTATAAGCATTCAGCAAGCATCAGTGAAAGTCAATAGGTCAACTTTTTTCTGCATGAAGGAATTCAGTGACACACCTTTGCATCACATGCACTTAGATGTCAGACATCATTTCTCAGACTGCTATCTGTCACATGGCAGCAAAATGTAACAATTGGTTTGAAGGTTCAACCTTTGCTGCCATACCCCAATGTACACCTCTGATATTACGAGCCAGAATATTAAAATAGGAGGCATTAGTTCTGGAGCAGCCCTCATATAGTTATTTTACTGTTTGATTTGGAAAGTCTTATGTTGTCTTCATATTACCTTACCATCATCACAGAATCATAGAATGGCTCAGGTGAGAAGGGACCTTAAAGATCATCGAGTTCCAGCTCCCCTGCCGTAGGGTTGCCAACCGCTGCCTCAAGCTGCCCAGGATCCTATCCAGCCTGGGTGTCTAAATAAAAAAAATCTTTCCAAACATCTTACCTAATCTTTGCCCTTTTAGTTTTAAGCCATTCCCTCTTGTCCTGTCACTATCAGTCTGTATAAGGACTCAGTCTGTGTTTGACTTGTAAGCTCCCTTCTAGTACTGGAAGACTGCAACAGGATCTCCCCAGAGTCTTCTCTTCTGGCAAGCTAAGCAAGCCCAACTCCCTCAACCTTTCTTCATTGGAGAGGTGCTCCAGTCCTTTGACCATCCTCATGTCGCTCCTCTGAACCTGCTCCAGCAGCTCTGCATTGCCCCTGTCCTGGGTGCCTCAGCCCTGGACACAGTACTCCAGACTGGTCCTCAGTCCAGACTGGCAGAGTACAGGAGCACGATCACGTCCCTCCACCTGCTGTACACCCAGGATACAGTTGCCCTTCTGGTCCACAAGAGCAACTGCTGGCTCTCGCCCAGCTTTCTGTCCACCAGAATTCTCAAGTCCTTCCTGGCATGGCTGCTCTCAATGAGTTCTTCTCCTAATCTGTACTCAGATTTGGGATTGCTGCAGCCAAGAGCAACACCTTGCATTTGTCCATGTTACACCTCATTAGATTCTCATGAGCTTCTTTTCAAGTGTGGCCTGGTCCCTCTGATCACACCCCTCCCTTCTATTCTGCCAGCTGTACCACCTAGCTTGGTATCATCAGCAAATTGGCTGAGGGTACACTTGTGGCATGGAATCATAGAATCATAGAATCATAGAATGGCCTGGGTTGAAAAGGAGCACAGTGCTCATCCAGTTCCAACCCCCTGCTGTGTGCAGGTCGCCAACCAGCAGCCCAGGCTGCCCAGAGCCACATCCAGCCTAGCCTTGAATGCCTGCAGGGATGGGGCATCCACAGCCTCCTTGGGCAACCTGTTCCAGTGCCTCACCACCCTCTGTGAGTTGTTTCCACTGTCAGTGTCATTGATGAAGATGTTAAAGAGCACGAGTCCCAAGATGGACCCTTAGGGGACACCACCCATGCCTGGCCTCCACCTAGACTAAGAACTGCTGGTAACAGCCCTCTGGCTGTGGCCATCAAACCAGTTATTTATCCACAGAATGATTCAGCCTTCAAATCCACCCCTCTCCAGTTTAGAGATAGGGATGCCATTTAGGAACATGTCAAAAGCTTTCCACACGTACAGGTAGACAACAGCAGTTGCCCAGTGCCCAGTGATGTCATCACTCCATGAAGGCTTCAAAATACATCAATATAATTTTAAATTGTGCATTCAGCTGGTTTCATTGAAGTGTTAATAAAGTGATAAATACGTAGGAGGATAAAGAAAAGATGCCTCTTGAAAGTACTGCAAATCTTATTGTATCAATTTCAATAGGCTGGTTAGGAGTACAGAAAATAACTTTAAAGTAGTTAAATTTAAATTGCTTAAGCATTTCTTCACTACATGCTGGCTTAAATATTTTGTACTGATATGATTTGACAGCAGCAGTAAAATGGAGCCATTGCTAATTGCTTCTATGTAGAGATTTATTAAGGAATTTCTATCTGAAGAGCAGAATACTTGTGTTTGAAATAAAACCTCTAGAAGAGAAATCACATTTTGGTTCTGCTGATGCGTTCTTGTCAGTTATTGTGGCTTTCAGGTAACTCTTAGTTTGCCCTCATCGAACTTTCCTGTTTAGGGGAGCAATTCATGTGATAAAGGAGGAAAGATGATACGTGGAAAGTATTATACACCACTGATCTCTTTGTAGAGAATCCTTGCATACAAAATAATCTCCTTTATTAATAAGTGTACAGTTAAGAGTTCAGCCCACATACAAGATAGAAGCTTCACATCTTGTGGTTGCTATCTGCAGCTCTGCTGCTACATTTCTAATAAAATTAGAAACATGACAAATCTTGCTAGCAACACTAACCTTAGAGTCTGGATCATGGAGAAGAAAAGGGAAAGTAGTAATTTCACATTTCCACTGCTGTCACCATCCAAGGAGGTGACTAGGCTGCATTATTTTCAGCAGCTGATGTTGTCAGGGCCCAAACTGTTTAATTGCAACTCTGAAAGGAAGACCAGCGTGTTCTGACTCAGAC